TAAAACCTATTGGTATTTACTGTTTAATTAGAATCTACTGGTGTACATTTGTACTAAAACCTATTGGTACGTACTGTTTGATTAGAATCTACTGATGTACATTTGTATTAAAACCTATCGGTATGTACTGCTTAATTAGAATCTACTGGTGTACATTTGTACTAAAACCTATTGGTATATACTATTTAATTAGAACCTAATGGTGTATATTTGTACTAAAAACCTATTGGTATGTAGTGTTTGATTAGAATCTACTGATGCACATTGTGTACTAAAATTTGTTGGTGTACACTGTTTAATTAGAATCTACTGATGTACATTTGTACTAAAATTTATTGGTATATACTGTTTAATTAGAATCTTTTGTTGTACATTTGTATTAAAACCTATTGGTATATACTGTTTAATTAGAATCTACTGGTGTACATTTGTACTAAAACCTATTGGTATTTACTGTTTGATTAGAATCTACTGATGCACATTGTGTACTAAAATTTGTTGGTGTACACTGTTTAATTAGAATCTACTGATGTACATTTGTACTAAAATTTATTGGTATGTACTGTGTAATTAGAATTTACTAGTGTACATTTGTGCTAAAATATATTGGTATATACTGTTTAATTAGAATCTTTTGTTGTACATTTGTATTAAAACCTATTGGTATATACTGTTTAATTAGAATCTACTGGTGTATATTTGTACTAAAACCTATTAGTATATACTGTTTGATTAGAATCTACTGGTGTACATTTGTATTAAAACCTATTGGTATGTAGTGTTTGATTAGAATCTACTGATGCACATTGTGTACAAAAACCTATTGGTATGTACTGTGTAATTAGAATCTACTGGGGTACATTTGTACTAAATACTATTGGTATATACTGTTTAATTAGAATCTACTGGTGTATATTTGTACTAAAAGCTATTAGTATATACTGTTTGATTAGGATCTACTGGCGTAAATTTGTACTAAAACCTATTGGTATGGTCTGCTTAATTAGAATCTACTGGTGTACATTTGTACTAAAACCTATTGGTATGTAGTTTTTAACTCAAATCTAGACTCTAACTAAACAATATATACCAATAGGTTTTAGTACAAATCTTCACCAGTAGATTCTAATTTAACAGTACATATCAATAGGTTTTAGTACAAATGTACACCAAAACTGATGTACATTTGTACTAAAATTTATTGGTATGTACTGTGTAATTAGAATCTACTAGTGTACATTTGTACTAAAATATATTGGTATATACTATTTAATTAGAATCTAATGGTGTACATTTGTACTAAAACCTATTGGTATATACTATTTAATTAGAATCTAATGGTGTACATTTGTACTAAAACCTATTGGTATGTAGTGTTTGATTAGAATCTACTGATGCACATTGTGTACACATACCAATAGGTTTTAGTACAAATGTACACCAAAAGATTCTAATGAAACAGTACATACCAACAGATTTTAGTAATAATGTACACCAGTAGATTTGAGTTAAAAACTACATACCAATAGGTTTTAGTACAAGTGTACACCAGTAGATTCTAATTAAACAGTACATACCAATAGGTTTTAGTACAAATGTACATCAGTAGATTCTAATTAAACAGTACATACCAATAGGTTTTAGTACAAATGTATACCAGTAGATTCTAATTAAACAGTACATACCAATAGGTTTTAATACAAATGTATATCAGTAGATTCTAATCAAACAGTATATATTAATAACTTTAAGTACAAATATAAACCAGTAGATTCTAATCAAACAGTATATACTAATAGCTTTTAGTACAAATATACACCAGTAGATTCTAATTGAACAGTACATACCAACAGTATTTAGTACAAATGTACCCCAGTAGATTCTAATTAAACAGTACATACCAATAAGTTTTAGTACAAATGTACACCAGTAGATTCTAATTAAACAGTTCATACCAATAGGTTTTTTTTTTGGTGTACATTTGTACTAAAACCTATTGATATGTACTGTTAAATTAGAATCTACTGGTGAAGATTTGTACTAAAACCTATTGGTATATATTGTTTAGTTAGAGTCTACTGATGTACATTTGTACTAAAATTTATTGGTATGTACTGTGTAATTAGAATCTACTGGGGTACATTTGTACTAAAACTTATTGGTATGTACTGTTTAATTAGAATCTACTGGTGTATATTTGTACTAAAAGCTATTAGTATGTACTGTGTAATTAGAATCTACTGGGGTACATTTGTACTTAAAGTTATTAATATATACTGTTTAATTAGAATCTACTGGGGTACATTTGTACTAAAACTTATTGGTATGTACTGTTTAATTAGAATCTACTGGGGTACATTTGTACTAAA